TTCTACTGTAGGGTAAATTTGGGACAGTTGCCCCACTGTAATAAAACGAATACTAAAAACATTACTAGTGTTATTTATTGCATCAAAATAAAATTATATTTAAAATTTTAAATTGATTCAAAAAAGGTGGCCAGTATTTTCTTTAAGACAATATTTACAGAAAATTGGGTAAAAAAGAATATTTTAATTGAAAATTTTATCACAATTAAATCTCTACTGTTGGTGCATCTCACCTGGATTTATCCTACACTCCTACAGATTCTCAGTATTTGTTTAAGAAATGAAAATCACTAAGCATTGCAACTATGTAGCTACTACAGTTGCCCTCGTATTTAAATGTCCTAAGAAACTTAAGCGTTTCATCTCACGAAACCGAAACACTAATTGCTGTACTTTCGCGTCAGAATTTACGTGTTAATGCCCGTGAATGGTACGTTACTTCATCACGATGCAACGGGATCACGCAGTTATCGTAAATCATCGGATATTATCTTACCGTGTTTGAGTTTCCCGTTCTTGGAAATGAGAAACGACAAAGGTCTAGGTACCTTATCCGTGCATAGGCCATCCTGCTGGCTCGTCTTCAGCCCGAAAAGTGCATTTCTTCCCACCTTCATGTACTCTTTGCCCATCTTCTTGGGCGAGCTGATCCCAAACAGTGATCCTATGAACTTCATCTTGAATCGTTGTGTGACAGAACCTCGTGAAGAAATTTCGATCGTTCCTTCAACAATTTGCTCACTTCGAAACTGGTAATTAGCTCGTGAACGTGTTCCTCACGTCGATGTTTCTCAATATTAAACACGATATTATCTTATTACGATCTAGGATTTTATCGTCTAATAGATCAGAAAAGCGATAACAGCTGGTGCTTGATTCCTTAGTGTTTCACTGGTAAGATTCACGGCAATTAAGTTAATTGAGTAATTCGTGCTCTGTTTAGCGTCACCCCACCGTAGAAATTTCTTCACAGTTAATCTACGATGTGTTACGTTTGAAAAGTATTGTTTCACGTCACTTCTCCGAACATTGTTTCCAGGTGTGTACAGGATCTCTTCTTGAAACACCATCAATAAACATCGTTCGCGTTTTACTTCTCAATCGAAATCATCGATTTATCGTTCCTTCCTGTTTCAATTCCTTTTTCTTCGTCTACGCTTCTACTCTCTGGCTTGTTAGCGAACAGAATTACACTTTCACGATCGTTCACGTTCGATCATAAGGATGTTTTCTTCCGCTTTCGATCATGATGTTTTTGCTCGAACGCGGCACACCGTTGTATTTGGGCAGTCGTTTCCTGAAACAGGAAACCAACATCGGTTAGGAGAAATTTGCAAAAGTTGTGAAAATAAGACGTTCGTATGGATGTGAAACGTGAAACAATAATACAGCAAGTCTTCGTTATAACAGTTTTTGTTGAGGAAATATGAGTATTCATATACAGGGTGTCCCAGTTGTTTCCGATCAAACTTTGCCAGTACGTTCTACGAGTGTAGGTGAGAAAAAAATGTTGTATGGACATAGGTCGTTTGAAGCTTTGTTAAAAAGTTACAACAATAATACGAAATGTTAACGAATGTGAGGTTATGATACAAAATAGGAATAGATCGGCTGTTTATGCAAGCTGTGTTTACGATCTGAGGTCGTCAAAGGTGTTGAATGTAACTTTTACCAGTGCCATTCCTGTCTTGTATCGTACTAACCGCAAGTTCGTTACCATTCCATTTGTATTTCGTATTCTTGTTAAAACTTTTGAACGAAGCTTCAAACGACCTATGTTTATATAACATTTTTCTCTTATTTATATCCATAGAACATACTGACAAAGTATGATCACTTGGATCGGAAACAACTGGGACACCCTGTATATACATTACCCAACTGCAAGTGTCGATTATACTGTAATTAGAACGATAGAGCGTAAGAAATACATTAATTGAATTTACATTGAACCAAACTGGATCGAATTATATTGAACTAGGATTTATACTAATTGTATTTACGTATTAAAATGATATACAAAGGAAGCTCGTTAGAAGAGTGAAGAAAATACATGGAAATTGCAAAGCAAGCATCGCATCGAGATATTTTTCGTCAATTATGAAAATCTGTTAAAAATTCCTTAATATTCCATAAATATATGTAATACTAAATAATTAGATTCTAATTAACCATTACTACTGATAAAAGCGTTATATTTCTTTTTTTTTTTATGGAAGAAACAACAGTAAGTTTTAAAGAAATTCATTTCATTCGTGTCACCTGGTTCGGTAGTCTGCGCTTTTCTTTTTTAAAAACGTTTACCTACGGCTCGTTTCACGAATGAATGACTGCAGCAGTCATATAACAGCAGATTTCAGAATTGCAAATCTGGTCGAGTGAGGCTACATTTATCGCATATTTTAGTGAAATTGGAACAACCGCTTTGTCGAAATTTAAGATACTGTAGCTTACGCAAGCGCGATATCGTAGACCTTTGCAGTGCAAACACTATTTCACGCGTTCAAACGATTGATTTGCTTTGATTGCTATTAAAGGAAGAAGTTAATTAAAATGTAATTACCTACGTATAGTAATTAACGCATTTCCATTTCTCTTTAATTGCCTGTATTGCGTTTTCTTTTACTTTTTCATTCTAGATTTGTTCGTTTTACAGTAAATTACTGTTTTCTATGTGAAGAAACCTTCGTTCCGAAGGAAATAAAAGAAACGAGCCAGGTTTCAGAAATATATGTTAGCTATTGTGCTATTATTTGATGTATCACAAAAGCAAGTTAGTCGATCGTTAAAGTGGTAACTGTGGCGATTTAAGAATACGCAGCATTGCAATTATTTAAGTACGATAACGATACTTATATTCGCGCAACTTTCGTTACGAGAAAAAAAATCTCGTTTATCCTTTATTTTACATAACTGTCTTTGGGAACCATCGATTCTCCATTTATTACGTCATTACTATCATCGAGGGTTATCCAATATGCAGCCGTTTCTTGAATACAGTATAGCTTCAGTAAATCTTGTGCAGTGTAGGTATAGAAAAAATTTGTTTCTTAAAAATATTGCAAACATTTGGGCAGTATAATAGTCGTGAAGTGTTTTGTAAGTATAAAACTGTTCATTTATAGTTCTGCATAAAAGTTTCGTTGTAAAACTATTTTCAGGCGGATATGCGTGATAATTAATTAATTATTTCTTCCTTTCTTTCTTTATTTATTTAGTAATTAACGAGCGTTAGTCCTCTGTTGCACAAAAAGAGAAAGGAGTTACAATATAGCTATAATTTAAAAATTTGTTAAGTTAAGTTAAGTTTGTTGAGTGAAATTACAATGAAAAATTTTGAAATTGCAATTTATCATCTATTTATAGTAATAATAAGAAATATGTCCTCGTTTAAAGGAATGATCAATGTCATTCATGTAGACAGTAATTACATCTAACGATCTTCTAAGTATCACAAAGTTCTTCGTCATGTTTAAATAGAATTACGCCTTAAGAAATCCAAAGAAAAATAATAATTGGCTAACATTTTATGATCAAATGCAACTGACTGATTATACAGGTGAAAAGGTATTCATAATAAACCAGTAAAGTTTCTAATCCTTCCTTTTTATTTCTAATTGTACGTACAGAAGTATCGAGTACAATATTACACAAGGTTTATTTATTATTCTTTTAGAACAAATATTCTCAATTTTTAGTTACTTGAAATTGAAAATTTGAACCTATTCTGTTGTACATTTCTTTTCTTCAAAACACCTTGTTTGTTAAATTAAATGGCGTTTTTAATCGTACGTTTAATTCTTCCATTTTTTTGTAAATATTCGAAACAAAATCATTTTTATTAAGTATACGACAGAGAAACAGTTTCACCGAGGATGTGACACGTTAGAAAGTTATTTTGGCACTTGGTACGATAACTGAGCTAAAGGTCGAGAGAAACGAAATTCCAAATAGCCTAGGGATTTAAACGAGAAATAAAAAACCATAGTACGAAAACTAGTAGCACTTACACTTTCACTATTCGTTAGCAGAAGTATTGAGTATTTACTCAGGTGCTATATATACATGGTTCCGTGCGTGAGAAAGTAGCTGCATACATTTCTCTCGTTATATTATAATATACTGCGTTACGTAAATTGAAAAATGTTCAGGAAGAAAAATTGCAAAATTTGTACTGTAAATTTCTGTACATTTGTATTCTTTACTTTAAATACCTGGGTAAATTAAATTAATGATACCTATTCGGGAGATTAAATATTTTGTCCAAATTTTATAAATTAAATTTGAATTGTATCAGGTACTCGTTCAATATTTCACCAAGATGTTATTTATCTCGTGAATTCTTAATATAACACAGTTCAAAGAATCCAAATTTTTTAACACATATATGCGAAAAATAGAAAGTTTTGATTTGAAAAACACTGTTAACCAGTTCAACATACTTTACGTAACATACGAATGCTTCGTTTGGAAAGAATTCTTTTTTGTTATAAACTGCGATTGTTAAAGTTTTGGATTTACGACACTGACGCCTAGTTTCGCTATTTTTGAACGACTATTGTTCAAGATTTCTTGTTTATTTGATCAGTCTCAGCAGGTATTTAATGGATGCAACAACTCTGTGTTTTAGCAGTTCATATGTCTTAACACGTTCACTGCATATCGTTGGTTGGCATCGATAGTGGCATAATTCAAAAAATGTTTATTTTCCTTTTTCTTCACAGATAGATTCCATAGATACGGTATTTTTATTATCTTAAACGGTACATTTCTAACATCGCTAGTTTCATTCCAGAGAACAGATCAAATTGTACGATCAGTATTTAAATTTTAAACTACTTTTCCTGTATTTACATTTTTTGAGTTATGTCACTATCAATATCAAGCAGCGATATAGACCCCGTATCGTCCTGTGCGTTTTTATTAAATATTACCAACGCGCTAAGCTGACATTTCCACCATTTCTCCACTATTTTCACCGTAGCAGGCACCAATCAAACCTTTATACGTATAAAATACAGCGAAGAAACGTACGGGACTTATGTGTCCCGTACCGCCAAAAGGGAAAGTCCTCAAAAAAACCTGCTGCAGTGAACGTGTTAATGGTGCTTTGCTTCTGTGTGCTCCATAGTGATTGACGTGTTGAAAATTCACAACATAGTGCAAGGGTAATTAGCCCAAGTTCAAACTACAGTACTACCGGGATAGCTAGCCGGGATTTCACCTTGCTAGCTGACGCTCTTGGAACTTGGTTCGTGGAGTGAGCTTCCAGCGTGAGCCTCAGGACCTTGTGTCTCATTCGCACTCAATGGAGAATAAACATATCTGAGATTTCTCAAAACACTACCTCCCTTGATTGCTGGTCATGTTTGGTCCCAAGCCGCAGTCAACTAACGCGACAGCACTGTACTACCTTTTTTCTCTTTTTTGTTTTTACGTGGAGGAAATGTTCAAAAGGCCCTCCTGGTCCCTCTCGTGAGAGAATCCAGGGGAGTGTGGGATTTTTACCCGCTAAAACCTTCATGGTGGCCTACACTTTCGGCGTTGCGAGGGGGCTTCCGAGAAAACTCTTACGAATGCATCCGAAAATCCCCGCCTTCGCCAAGCCTTTTGGTCCTTTCCGTAGAGGAGTCCCACAAGGACCCACACTTCGCTTGGTGATTCCTGGTGATGTCGG